AGCGGCTGCCATGTCGTGATGGCCACTGAGGCTCCAGAGTCCCTCTTGGGGTGGCTTCTCCAAGATCTGCACAACAGTGTACCTCAAGGACAAAAGCTAAACTCCAGAACATTGACTCTGCCCGGATCAGCCGGTTTCAAGGGGCTGGTTGGCGGCTGTTTCTGGACCCTCCTACACAGCCCCCTGGAGGAAAATAAGCAAGAATATGAGATGCAACTTGGAAAAGGGATATTTCTAGATGGCCACAGGGTTACGGAGAGGTGGCCAGACGCACTTGTTTGTAATCAGGGAGATGCAAATTAATAGAAGACAGAACCAGATGTCAGTGAGATGGGAGGAACCAGGCAGTGGACACTAAGTGGCGGTGGCCGTGAGGAAACCAGGCCTCTGCTCTGCAGGCCAGACGGCAGCCCGGGAGCCCGCCAGAGACTCGGCTGTGGCCAGGAGGGTCATTATCCGTGCTCCCTGGACCCAGTCATCCTACTCCTGGGTTTATAGCCCGGCCAGCTACCCCATGGGTCCCTAAAGAGACAATGTCAGAAGGCCACTCTTCTTGAGGTTCGGGGGACCCGGAGGCTACCTCGGCGGCCGACATTGATGAAGCATCACACCCAAAGGGCTTCGGTACCCGGCCGCGCCTCGGACGCAGGCGCACTCCAATATTGGTCCCGACAGATGCAGAGTCAAGAGGGCAGAGGAATGGGAGCCGCGACCCATGGGGAAAGCCAAAGGTGACATGAAAGTCACTGGACAGTGTCCAGGGGGCTGTCCAGGGGGCTATGCCGACTCCACCCCAACATGCTGCGAGGGCTTGAGGAGGTCTCTAGTTACTTTGGACTTTAGTTTCCTAATCTGAGAAATGGGAGCGCAGGGTCAGGTCTCAACAGGACACAGGAAACAAGCTGGCTAGTTGGAGGGAAGTTCAAAACCGTCATCTACAGCTAGGGACAGAGGGCGGGCGGGTGCAAGGGAAGGGGAGATCCCAGGAGGGCAGGAGGATGGGTGCAGCAGCACCTCCCAGCCCAGGCCTCCCAGGAGACATCCGCCTGGGCAGGGGCGGTTCCAGGGACACAGGGAGCCTAGGGTGACACTGCAGGGCTGAGGGAAACACGCAGATGGCGTGAGCAGCAATGCCCCTGCCCTCACGGATGGGTTCCCAGAGCCCCGCGGTGCCTGACGCGGTGGGTGATATGGAACCCCACCTGTAGGCCTTCCCTCCTTCTCCATGTCTAGGATACGGTCATAGGCCCAGGAAGAGGTGGACAGTGATGACGAAGATAAAAGTTATTTAAGACTGGTGAATTGTTGGTTTCTGAGATTTTCCTCTGACTATTTTGGGGTCTGTGATTCCTGGTGGATGATGGAACCCAGGGAGCAAAGCTGTGGGCAGGAAGGGAAGAGCGAGGGAACGTTAGCCCTTGGTTCACAACTGTGGGCCTCGTGAGTCCCACGTCCAGCAGCGAGGCTGGGACTCTGAAGGCAGGAGTCGCAGGTGGCTCTGAGGCCGCCTGCGGCAGAGTCCCCGACTCCCAGGTCACCTTCGTTCCCGTCAGGCTCCCACTGATGGGCAGGACCCCCCATCCTGGAAGGCAAGCTGCTTTACTCGGAGTCCGTTTATTTTAAGCGTTAATCTCATCAAACGCATCCTCATGGAAACATCTAGAATAACCTGGGACCAAATATCTGGAACCACAAAAGGCAGAATGTGACGAGTCTTCAGTGCGGCCTACCCAAGCCCACCTCCGGGGACAGGGGACAGGAGCCGAAAGCAAGTCCAGAGACAGACCCCACACACGGGCTTTAGTCACCACCAGAGGTTGTCCCCTGGTGGCCCTCGCCCTGGACCTGGCCCTCGGTCAAACTCTCTGGCCCTCCCCGGTGAGTTTTCAGCTGTTAATGGGCTGCTTCCCCCACCCCACCCCCCACCCCCACTATTTTTTCTTTCTTCCTCTTTCTCTTTCTCCTCCCTCCCTCCCTCCCTCCTTCTCTCTCTCTCTCTGTCTCCCTCCCTCCCTCCCTTCTCTTTCTCCTTCCTTCTTTCCCAGGGATTGAACCCAGGGGCCCCTTAACCACTAGCCACATCCCAGCCCTTTTTATTTTTTATTTTGAGATGGTGCCTCACTAAGTTGCTGAGGCTGGCTTTGAACTCGTGATCCTCCTGCCTCAGCCTCCTGAGCCGCTGGGATTACAGGGCTGCACCCAGCTGGGTTGCTCATCTTTAAAGTTCAGATTTCACTTTAAAATCTGGATTCCCACTTCTCTTGGGAAAGAAAACACCACAAGATCTAGCAATGTGGTGGGCACAGCCTGGAAGGGTGCACTCCTGTCAAAGGGGGCCGTGGATCCTCAGCTCTGGCCACCTGCTGCAAAGGCAGCAGCCCTGACCCAGATGCTCTCCCCTCTCTGAGCTAGCAATGTGGGGCCCTCGTGCCACCTGGCGACAGTGGCTGGGAGCCTAGTGGGTGGGGTGGGGGAGCCAGGACTGTCACCTACCCCAGTCCCGAGCTGCGCCTTTCACCCTGGCTCCCTTCTTCCCACTCCGCCACCTTCCTGGCCTGGGAAGGCGCTGGAACCCAGGATCCTAGATTACACCATCTGGAGGGTCCATCTTGGCCTCAGTGGTCACTGGTGGCCACGGTGGGGAGCCTCACTGCCCAGTGGAACTGTCTCTGATGAGGGGGCAGCTGGCTCCTGCCCGGCCCAACACAGAGGCCACTTGCTAAGTGAGGGACTGAGCCCTCACCACCTGGCTGGTCTGAATCGAGGTGTGTCACAGTACAAAACGCCGACCAGATTCTAAAAACATGAGAAATACAAATGGGAACTGTCCTAGGAGCAATATTTTCTATTTTTTACATATGAAAGGATAATATTTGACAGGATATTTGACATTTGAAAGGATCCTATTTTGGATATATTAGACTGAATAAAATAGTTTCACTGAAATTAATTTCATTTTTTATGCGGTTATTAGAAAATCACAGCGTGTGACTCATTTCCGGGGCTCCTGTTCTGTTTCTGTCAGGTGGTCCCGTCTGCATGCCAAGATCCCCACCACCTCGCTGCACTCCTGACCTTCTCGATGGTGGCCTCATTCTACACCCACAAGCTAAAAAACCCAGTGTCACCAGGAGTTTACAGACCTCTGCTTGTGATTCTAGACCAAGCCCCCGAGAGCCGGGGCACCCAGTTCCCCTCTGTCTCATGCCTCTGAATCCTTCACCCAGAAATTCCCCTCGACAAGGCTGCTCTGTTTTGATGATTCAAAGCCCCTTCCGGATGTGGTGGGCCTTGAGGTCAGGCCAGCCTTAGATGGGCAGGGGTGACTGCCCACAAATGTCAAAAAAAGCCAAAAATACCTTCTGCTCTTTCCTTTCCCAAGTCCCCAGTCCCCAAATCCATAGACCTTCTGGAAACAACTAAGTGGTTCTTAACCACTCAGCTCTCTGGTGGTTCTGTGGAACCCGGGCCAGCGCTACTGGGTTCCCTTCTGACCAGCACAGTGCCTTGACTCCCTGTGTGAAGAGGCCCAGGTGAGGGTGGCCGAGGGGGCATCACAGAGGCCTGCATGAGCAAGTCTGAGCAGCCCAGAGCTCACTCAGGCAGAGCTACCAGCCCAGGTGGGAGGGAGCAGGGCATGAGCATTTATCTACTGCTTACTGGATACTCCACACATTATCTTCCTGAGTCCTCAAACAATCCTAAGAAGTAGGTAATAGATTCTCTTTGCTATAACAGAGGACGCACAAGTTCAGAAAGGGACTCTGTCTTGCCCAAGGCCACACAGCACAGTAACCGGCACCGCTGGCATTTGAGTTCCTGTCTGCTGCGCACAGCCCAGGGCCCCTGCAGTTCACGGAGTGCTCCCTGCTTCCTGCAGCTGGACAGCTGGACAGCAGGCCTGACTGCTGCCCCCTGCAGAGGTTGCAAGTTGGTGGTCCTCGTGCTGCCTTTGGCCCTGGCACCATGATGGATCAGCACCATCCATGCCTCATTTTTGTGGGGCTTTAACACTTGGCTGGGGCCGAGGAGCAGCTGCCTTTCCCAAACAAGCCCACACTGTCACAGTTCACAGTTCCATGGGACCTGCTTTGTGCGTGAGCTTCCCTCCCAGCCCTGAGGCACACGGCGGCTGCCTTGGAGATTTTTGTGCCTGCTCCTTGCCGATGTGGACCCATGGCCCAGGAGAGTTTGGCCACACTCGGCTATGAGACTATGAGAGGTCACGTCCCTTATCGGGAGGCAGGACGCTCCTCTTTAGATCTAAGCAAGTGGCCCAGGGAACGTGTCCTTTTAGGGGCAAACGACAGGCAGCCTGGGATGCCATCTAGCTGTGTCCATCCCCACATGGTGGGGTGCAGAGATGCTGGGGGAGATGTCTCTACTCCCGGTGGGACTGGCTTTCAGAACAGCCTGGAAGTGACAGTAGCATAAAGTACATGCGGGTGATCGACATTTATTGAGTGCCTTCTGTTTGTAATGCCGGGTATACAGCAAGGTGATCACAGGTCTGAATTATTCCCTCCAAGGCAGTAGGACAGTGGACAGGAGCAGTGGCCAGTCACAGACCTCTGTGACCAGCAGGGATCTCACTGTCTCCAGTGGATCCCCCCCCACGAGTCCCTTGGGGCAATGACAAGGGACACAAGGGACAGGGGAGAAAGGGGAAGCGGAGCCGAGTTCTTTGTCTCGCACTACCGTGAATGAGCTGGTTTCTCTGAACCTCGGTTTCCTCCTCTGTAAAATGGGGCAAAGCCTACCTTCCTGCTAGTGGGATTGCAGATATTTCTTGGGAAACTTCTTGCTCTCCTCCCACACTTTCCACTGGCCCTCTCTATGGGAAAGGGTGAGGCAGCTCACCCAACCCCCAGGAGGTGGGCCCAGGCAGGCGGGACAGGCAGCCAGGAGGGCTTAAAGGGTAGAAAAGCAGAAGCGCAGGGTTCCCCCCATGGCCACTCCACCTGCCACCGCTGCCAGACACTGACTGCCATTCAGGGACCATGAGGGGCCTCTGTGGAGCTGCTGAGCACCTCGTCAGGACTGGGTAGGTCTGGGGACTTTGGACAGTGAGGGCCACAGGTGAGAAAAGATCAGCAATCTGTTGGGAGAAGTATAAGCCCTCAAGGTCTTCCACTCCCTGGCTGTGTGACCTTGGGTCCACCCTCCCCCTCTCTGAGCCTCAGTTTCCCCATCTGTGAAGTGGGAATGATAATGGTGTCTATGGAACTGTTGTGAGCGTTGAGTAAGGGCTTGGCTCAAGGGAGCACTCGGTAAATGTCACCTGGTGTCCTTGTCATTGATAATTTCCAGCATGGAACTTGGCTCCCACGGCGACCTCGTACTGGTTTTTATGATCATATGATTAGCTGGTATTTCATCAGCTGCTCTGTTCCAAACACTAGTTAGACGGTACAAGGGGCGTTTAGTCCCACATCCAAATGCCTTCAAGAGCCAGATGGGATTGTGCTGGGCAGGGTCCCTCAGTCCTGTACCTTGAAGGGTGGGGCACAGCCTGGAAGGGTGCATCCCTGTCAAAGGGGGCTGTGGATCCTCAGCTCTGGCCACCTGCTGCAAAGGCAGGAGCCCTGACCCAGATGCTCTCATTTCTCAAGAGAAGCTAGAAATCCCAATTTCAATGTGAAACTTCCTGTATCCAGATGACGGTAGTTCTCACACACCCACGGCGTGGACCAAAACAAAGCAAAGTTGCACACTGGATTCAGCCCTTGGGACCCCAGGATGTGGCCTCTGGTCCAGTGCCCCAGGCCTCACGCGTCAGGGCGTGTTCAAGTCCCCAACCCTGTTTCCTAAGGGAGCAGTTCTGTTCGGGACACCCAGCCTCCTTTCCCCACGTAAGAAATGACACTTGTTCTCCCAGCCCTAGCTTAAATATCACCTCTTCCAGGAAGCCCTCCTGACTCTCCCAGGTAAACATGACCCTCCACCTTCTCCACCCCAGTGCAGACCCAGGCTGACCATTCCTGAGAGTCCTTTTATGGTGGACTTACGCTCTAATGTCCTGTTCACATCTCCCCAATTTAACCGTGAACTTGTCCTGTGTGTGGCCCATGACCTAATTCACCTCGGTGCCCAACACAGGGACAATTATGTCTCACCTTTTCTTTACCTTCAGCATTCATTACCTCCTCCAGCGTCCTGCCCTCACTGCTGGCCTTGATTCCTGCTGATCTGAGCAAACAGGAGCCATCCTGCCACGCTCCGTGAAGATTTATGAGTACCATATCTTTGTGAATACTTAGCAGACACTATTCCAGGCCCTCGGAATGTATCAGTGACCCAAAGATAGAAAGCCCCTGCCCTGGAGGTGTTGACCCGCTAATGACAGATAATAGCTCAGGTGGTGCTTATGATGTGACCAGAATGACCCTAGGAGGCACGTTCTACAGATGAGAAAACTGAGGCACAGGGGCTTAAGGAACCAGGCCACACAGCTGTGAGCAGTGGAGCAGGGGTTTGAATCGGGACAGACCAGAGGCGATGCCCTCCATCCTTGCCCTGCGTGTTTCAGGTGACGTTCTCCACAGGTGTGCAGCCTTGTCCATCTCCACCATTACCCGCTTCCTGCCTGCCACCAGCTAACGGCCCTCCTTCCTTGCCCCAGATGATAAAGGGCAGGGCCACAGGACGTTGAGCTCAGGGAAACAGCTTCTGTCTCCGTCTCTGCCCCTCCCACTCCTTGATCCTTCTCCCTTTGTCTGGGCTTCCGGCCCCCTGACTCCTTCTTTCAGGCCAGTTGTCCTCACTAGGCTCCGGGCTCCGGCAGCCCGGGCAGGCGCCCCCCACCCTCAGGAGCTGCGCAGGACTGGGCTCTTCGCCCACCACTCCCTGAGACCCAGCCTGGGGAGGGCTGTGATTGGTTCAGCGTTGTCACGTGGGCGGGAGTGGTTAACTCTGATTGGCCCATCTGGAAAGTTGGCCTGCCTCTGTAGCAAAAGCGTGGCGTCCACTAGCAGGCCTTGGCATTGAGGGGCAGGGACGGTGACAGGCCCACCCGCCCCCTGATGGAGGGTCCTCCCATTTCCTTGTGTCCAGGTGGAGGTTCTGGCAATTGGGGATCCGCAAGGCCCTTGACCCACTGCAGGCTGCCTGGGATGCCTTCTCCCAGTCTGTCCCAGCCAGCTGTGGCCAGCTGCTGACCCAGCTCCTCCTCTGTGCTTGCCTGGCTGTTGCTGCCGCAGAACTGGTTTGTCATCGGCTGGTCTCTTCGTGGCTTTATCCTTCAGGACCCTCGGGCATCATAGCCACTGTGTGTGGACTTCTGGTCTTCCTGGGCCTGGGCCTGGTACCCCCGGTCCGCTGCCTGTTCGCGCTCAGTGTGCCCACCCTGGGCACGGAACAGGGACGCCGGCTGCTCCTGTCCTACAGTACTGCCACCCTGGCCGTTGCCGTGGTGCCAAACGTCTTGGCCAACATGGGTGCAGCTGGACAGGTGCTTAGGTGCGTCACCGAGGGCTCCCTGGACAGCCTGCTCAACACCACTCACCAGCTGCGCAATGCGTCCACAGCACTGGGCCCCACCAGCCGATCGGGCAGCCGGGGCCTGACATTTGAGAGCCAGGGAAATGGCTCTGCCTTCCGGCTTCACATGCTCAGGGTCACTCAGGGGGTCCTGGAGGACTTCTCTGCCTTGGAGTCCCTGGCCCAGGCAGCAGCACTGGGGACTCAGCGGGTGGTCACGGGGATGTTCATGCTGGGCCTCCTGGTGGAATCTGCCTGGTACCTCCACCGCTACCTGACTGACCTGCGGTTTGACAACATCTATGAGACACCACAGCTGACCCGGCAACTGGCCCAGGCCCAGGCCACCCACCTAGTGGCTCCTCCACCCCCGTGGCTGCTCGGAATAGCCCGGCCCAAGCTGTCCCGGGAGGAGCTGCTGCACTGTCTCCTGAGGCTGGGGCTTCTCTCCCTGCTCCTGGTGGCCACAGCTGTGGCAGTGGCCACAGACCACATGGCCTTCCTGCTGGCACAGGCGGCAGTGGATTGGGCTCAGAAGTTGCCAGTTGTGCCTGTCACGCTTATGGTTAAGTATGATGTAAGTGCTGGGAGGGGAGATGACCTAGGTCAGTTCCTGGAGGGGCAGTCTCACTGACCCCTGGACTTACAGACCTGGGCGCAGTGACACACACCTGTAATGCTACTCAGGAAGATGAGGCAGGAGGTTCGCAAGTTCAAGGCCAGCCTCAGCAACTTAGCAAGACCTGTCTCAAAATAAAAAGGCTGGGGTGCAGCTCAGTTGTAGAGCATCCCTGCATTCAGTCCCAGTACTGGAAACAACAACAACAACAAAAACACCTGACATGCAGTTGCATTTACTTGCCTGCAAAACATAGACCTTGGATAAGCCATGTGGCCTGGGCAACAGCAAATGAGCCCATTTGATCCCCACAGGAGGCCTAAAAAGTGGTTCTATTTTCACCTCCTGTTGTAGGTGCAGATGCCAAGACCCAGAACCCTGAAAATCACTTGCCCTGCAGGAGTATCCAAACACTCTAGCCTCATTTCCTGCATTTGAGTTACATGCCACACAAAAGAGGTTTATTAAATAGTAGCTGTTACTAATAGCTCACGCCTGGATAGGGATGGCCTAGACCATCAGTCAGTCAGCTGTGACTCTCAGAGCAAATCCAGCTGGTTTCCTGATTTTGTAAATCGAGTTTTATTGGAACATAGCCTCCCATCTGTTGTGTATTATCCATGGTTGCTCTGCAAAGGCGGTGTGGTCAAGGAGACGCAGGACAGACCACAGAGCCCACAAATAAGGTTGTATTTACTTTCGGATCACGATTTGTGGTTTCCAATCTTTTCTTTTTATTTATTTATATTTGTTTGTTTATTTGTACTAGGGATTAAACCCAGGGATGCTTTACCACTGAGCCATATCGCTAGCCCCTTTCTATTTTTATATATTTATTTATTTTTGAGACAGGGTCTTGCTAAGTTGCTTAGGGCCTCACTAATCTCCTGAGGCTGGCTTTAAACTTGCGATACTTCTGCCTCAGCCTGACGAGACACTGGGATTACAGGCATGTGCCCCCATGTTCAATTTGTATTTTTTATTTTTAATAGTGAGATCACACACAAAAGCCTATTGCATAAAAAAACACCCAAATGTCAGACCCTGAGCTAATAATATTAAGAGCTTATATTTATCAAATACTTATTATATATTATAAAATTATTTGTTGAATTGCAAGAAATCAGTTTAGGTGATCATGATAAAAAGTTGTCTTTTTTTTAATGAAATAAACTAGAAAATTATGAGAGTATATTGCAGGTAATAAGGCTATGTATTATTTCGTGAAACTTTTCATCAATTATAATATAATCTGTGCTTGGAAGATGCTGTAAAATGCATTTCCTACCACAGGTCACAGGAAAGAAATGTGTCAGGGAATGGTCTAAGAGTGTTCCCTGATTGACGTAGACTTCATTCATCATATCTAAGATGCTATCAATTCCAAGTCACACTCTTGTTTGATATATCAATAAGAGAGGAAATGCTATCCATTAAACCTGACTCAATGCTTTGTTTTCACTTAGACTTCCAATTATACTCATGTAAAAGTAATTCACTTTTATTTAACAAAGATTTGTTTCACCACATCTCCTCTCATGTACACATAAAAGAAAAATAGAAAGTGATTGGTTAATTTTCCTAAGATGTCCTTCCACCCAAGCCCAAACCTGAATGACGCTGGCCAAGTCACAAGTATCCCAGGCTTCTGGCCAACATCTCGGTGTCTTCAGGAGCATTGGTGACGTCCCTCTATTTCTCCAGCACTGTTGACCAAGCTTGGGCCGTGTCTCTGCGAGTGTTGACCCTGGTGCCTCTGACCCTCTGGGGAGCATCTGGGCCCAGCCCTCCTCCTGGCTTTAGCCGCCTCATCTCTGCCAGGGCTTTGGGAGCTCCTTCTGCCCTCGTTGAGTGCTTCAGGGTGTGGCAGGCCCTCACACAGGGGTTCGTGACTCAGCCTTACTTAGCACAAACCTCCTTCCCATGGGTTCTCACTTGGCAAGAAAATATAGGCTAAAGTTCATCCCTCAACATGAATACTTGCTTCACTAATATATTTGTGGCTTGCTGCTCGGGACTTCGTTTCAGTAGACATAACCACTCACTTCTTTTTTAAATTATCATTTTTAATTTTTTCATTTGTTCTTTTTTAGACATACATGACAGTAGAGTGCATTTTGACGTATTATACATACATGGTGTAGAACTTACTCTAATTAGGATCCCATTCTTGTGGCTGAACATCACGTTACGGGTTACACTGGCTGTGTATCATATATGAACAGAGACAAGTGATGTCCAACCATTCACTTCTGAAACAGAGTTTCTTTTGGAGACATTTTGAGATGGCAGTCAAACTCTACACAGACCAGGAATGCACATCACTTTCTAAAACCTCAGGGTGGGCACTCAGGCTAAAGGGATACCTGTACGCAAATTGTGACCTGCTGTGGCTGCTGAGAGCAGTTACCGGTCATATTGATTTTAGACATGTCCTGATTTTAAAGACGTTAAAAAGTAAAAAAAAAAAAAAAAAAAGAGCATCTCAGAATGGATGAAATAAGGTAGTTTCCTTAATCGCCACCATGATCCTTGAGATAGGAATTATTATCATCACCCTCATTTACAGAGAAGGATACCAAGGCTCAGTGAGGTTGGGGGAACTCCCCCCAAATTCATCAAACCCAAAGTGGCAGAACCAAGCTGCTTGCTACTTTCATGGGTTCCTTCCCCCATGAAAAAAAAAATTTAAATAAATGGATGCAAATACATTACATATTGAAAATAATGTTTGGCATAAAAGTTCATTTTTTTTTCTTCTAACTTAAAGCAAAATGAAAACATTTTCATGATCCCCTAAAAATACAGCAGTGTGAGACCCCACACCCTGCCTGCCAAGCTACTGAGATGTTCTCCCTGAGGGGAGATCCAGAGCCCACTAAGCAGCTGCCTCCAAGCCCGGGGCTGGCCTTGGCTGCCGCTCGCTCCTCCTGCTCTGGCACACCTGTGGGCACGGGAGGGTCTAAGGCTTCTGAGCAGGATATTGGGACCGCCCTTCTTGGCTGGGACTGCCCCCGAGTTGGCCACATGAGAACCCACCCAGTGGCTTTGGGTTCCCCATCTGTTAAATGAGGCTCCTGTTGGCCTGCACCTCATAGGCTCACTCACATTTGAGGAGACAGTACATCAGAATAGTCACTAGGGGCTTAGCGGAGGGTCAATGACCTTGAGCATTAATTTGCCTTCTCTAAAGCATTCTGCTAAAAGGTCGTCGTCATCATCCTCATCGTCATCATGGTGACACCTGTCAGATGCTCTTCAACTGCGTGCCAGCCCCAGCCACCTTTGGCCTCCCAGGAAGTGGGGGTCATCTCCGCACCCATTTTGCAGATGAGGGCCGGGAACTTGGGCGGTGGTCCCAGGCCTCGCAGGGCGGGGCGGGCAGTGCCAGAGCCCGCGGTTGACTGCCCCTTCTCTCCTTTCAAGGCGGCCTACAGCGTCCTGGACTTCGTCCCCTTCCTCCTCAACCGGCCCCCCGCCCGGAGCCCCTTCCTCTCCGCCCGCCACTGCTTCCGGTGGGACCTGCGCTTCACCTCGGCGGGCTGCCGGCTGCTGCCCGCCCAGCGCCCCCAGGACGCCGCCGCGCTGGCCGCCGCGAGCCTGCAGCTGCTGGCCGGCTCCACGGTGCTGCTGGAGACCTACGCCCGGCGCCTGCGGCACGCCATCGCCGCCGCCTTCTTCCCTGCGCAGGAGGCGAGGAGAATCCGCCACCTGCGCGCCCGGCTCCAGAGGAGGTACGACCGGCACCGGGGCCAGCGGCTGCCCCCGGGGCCTGCTCCCTCTCCCGACCTCACGGACCGCACAGAGGCACGGGGCAGAGGAGCAGGAGGCCGCGGGTAGCCGGACTTGAGCTGCTACCTGGCCCTCGGGCTGCCTCCCTGGGTGACCTGGGCTGGACACTTGCCTCTCTGAGCCTCAGTTTCCACGTCTATAATGACAGTTGTTGTGACCTACTTTCCACGCGAGAATGTGCAAGGAGATATTGAGCGTGAAAGGCAACTAGCAAGGGCTGTGCGCCGGTCAGACAAGGAAGCAGGAGGTGGCCCTTCCAGCCTCGAGGTGGTCCGGGGCCTCTCGCGCACCCCCTGCTCCACCTGTTGGAGGGAGGCCTTGCATCAGGAATTGATCCAAATGCTCCAGGGACGACTTATTTATAAGCCTCTGGCCCCTCTGGACTTATTTATAGTAACCTAATATTTTGTTTTTATAAATGAATGTGTTTATTAAATCTTAGATTAAATGTTATTCCTCTGCTTCCCCAGGAGCCTCCCAGCAGGATTGCCAGGTTCAATGAATAAAAACACAGGAGGCCCAATTCCATCTGAATTTCATATAAATGACACACTTGTTCAGTATGAACCCCAAGTATGTCCCTGACCCCTGGGTCAGCCACATGTAACCCACCGTGTGACCTTGAGCTTCCCACTGTCCACACACACACACAAACACACATACACTATAGCACATTAGATAATATTCTTGATTGGCTTTTATGTGAGTATTAGAACCCGGCGACATCAAATTCTAGAATAAATGCTCTGAGGGGTTGAAAAAAGGAGGTTGGTTTAAAAGACAGAAATGGGCTGAAAGAGAAAGAAGAAAGAACAAAAAACAGATCAGCCCATACATCCTACGTAACTATCAGAAAACACCTGAGTTGACTTTTTCCCCCAAAAAAGGGAGATGAAAAAATAAAGCAGGCATTGGCAATCTCTTCCTCATCACGCACATACCTGCTTGCCAGGTCTATTTCTAGGCCTTTCTTTGAGCAGAATCTGAGTTATGAGTAATGAAGAAATAGGAAACTCTAAGTCGATCTAATTTTAAAAACAGGAATGTGGGCCAATTGGAATGCCCAAAGTTTAATTATAGGTAAAAGAAATGGATGTAGCTATCTTAAGCCAGGGAGGATTTAATACAGGAAATTGGGTTCTTGTGGGGCTGGAGGAGGGGACCCCAGATCTGATTCACCAGGAAGCTCACCTCTTCTATCCTCAGAAGGGTAAGAAGTTAGGAAGCCACTGCTCAGAGGGTGGGCCCTGGGTGTCCTCTCTTGGCTGACACAACATGCAGGAGACACCAGAACCATGCTGACCGCGTGAGGTCTGTCCTGGCAAAACACGAAAACCCCAGGACGCCACAGAATCCCTGCCTGGGCCCAGAGCTCCCTGTCACACAGCCCACCAGCACCTTCGGCCGCCGCTGTGTCCCATGCCTCTGGGGTTCATGCCCTCTACACACTCGCTGTGAGTGACAGTTGACAGGCAGGACGCCAAACCTAGTAGCCTGGCTCTCAGGACTCAGGTCACCAGCAGAAATAGGAGCAGCCGAAATTAGGCCTCTGCTTCCTTCCGGTTTCCATGTGTTACATGGTAGCATCGAATTGGTGGAAACTGAGTTACACTGGAACCCTGGCTGTAAGGGGATTGGGGTGTACTTTTAATTTTCCGATCCAAATAGTTGGGGAAGGTCTACTAAAATATTGATTTTGAAACATTTTCGACCACCACTCAAAATACTTTTTCTTTTGCAACCCCCTCCATGTGAGATAAGTTTAATTAAAGACATCTGTTTTTTTTCTTAATTTAAATTTTTTATGGGTGTATTATAATTATACACAGTAGTAGGATGTATTGTGCCCTCTTTGGACGTGCACTTAACAGTTTGTCCAGTCCCTTCTTCATCTGTGCACGGTACTCTATTTCCTCTCATCAGCCTCGTCCTTCCTATGCTATTCCACTTCATCAGGGTGTTCTAGTCCCTTCTCTTATCCTACTTAAGAAGGTTACTGGTAAAGACTCACCAAATTGCAAGCCCTGGTGAGCAGGAGGGTGGGCTGTGCGTTGAGCTGGCCCTTGAGCTGGGTCTTTGGACATGAGGGACAGCAGCACAGAGACAGCAGAGAAAGGCCCAGGGACAAAGCTGCCTGCGGTGTTCAATGCCGAGACCCAGAGTTGGGGAAAGAGGAGTTTGAACGCTGTTTTTTTAAACCTTAGGATTTTCTTGAGAAACTCCAGTATAAATAAAATGGCCTTCCCTTTGGCTGTGTTGTTGCCCAATGAATCCAACAGGGACCCAACTGACACTGCCCACGTGTGCTCCCTGGGGAGGGACACGGGTCAGGCTTCTTCAGGGAACTTTGCATTCAGGCCTCTTTACCGTAGCTGACCTCCAAAGCACATCTAGGAGGTCGGGTTCTGAGGAGGCTGGAGAAGAGAAACTCTGCGACGGGCCCCTGGCACCCCACGCCCCCAGCTCTGGGGTATTTTTAGGCCGTGAGTCACCACCTGTGGGGAGCTGAGCCACACTCCATCCGCTCCTCCTCCCACTCCCAAGGTTACTGAGCCCCTGTCACAGGGCCTTGTCGGCCTCCCACGCCTCCAAGCCCCCACCAAGGCTTCCTTTCCACATGGCTGCCCTGTTGTTGTCTAGGCGGCGACTCAGCCACACGTACTGCACAGACAGTATATCAACCCTCCTTACGAAAATCAGAGCATTGCAGATAATGATAGTTAGCCTGTGTCGGTGCTTAGGAGTGCTGGGAATGTACTAGAAAATGCTTAAAAACTGATTCTAAAAGGAAACAAAGAAAGAGAAAGAAAGAAAGAAAGCCCTCATTTGTAGTATTTGCTGAACCCCATTGTATAAATGCACCACCGCCTCCACCCCGGCCAGGGGATTTCGAGCCACCCACAAATATTCTGACCTGGAACAGGGAAGAGATGCCCAACACGTCCAAAGCTCTACTGAAACCTGTGTGCACAAAAGTGTCTGAGGTGCTTGGTATTATTATCATCCTTCTTTTGAAGGTGAAGAAGTTGAGATTCAACGAGATTAAGTACTTTGCCCAATGTCACACGGCTAATAAGCTGCAGAGACAGGCTTTAAACCCAAGTAGTCTGTCAGAATCCGCGGTGTTAACTGGCCTTTCAAATAAAGAGAAAGCCCCTTTGAGCCTTCTTTATCTCCCCAGATGGAGCCCTATCACCTGTTGCCTGGGAATCTTTCAGATATTATTTGTTGAGTCTTAAGTGACACGATACTTACACATGTTGTTCTACAACTTATTTTTTCACTGAAAAATAGGTCATAGCCTTTTTCACATTCTGTTTCATTATTGAAGAGCATGAATATGTCATTAGTTATTTGGAAGTTATTGGCTGGTGGATGGAGAGGTGTGTCCAGGTTTTGCTCTTGTATTCAATGTTGCAATGGACATCTTTGTGCATGCCTCCTGGACCCCACCAGGAGCTCCCCTTACAAAACTTGTGAGAAAGTGCCGCGTCCGGCTAACGGAGCCGAGTCCGGCGAGGGACCGCGGGGTTAAAAATACACAGGACACCACGGTTCTTCATCCAGGAGGGAGCGTGTGCGCTTTATTGCCAAATTTGTTCCCCTTATATATCTTTTTAACAGCTGCGGGAAATTACTCAAAAGTGAGGAGGGAAGAGTAATAACTGCGTCCTTGGGTTACCGTCATGTCACCGTCCCCTATCAGGAGGCTCGAACAGGTCAAGATGTTCCCGAGAGACACATATGCGCGAGGCAGATAAACAGGGAACCGCAAGCCCGAGTCACGGCCTTGTGAGCTGGCCACATTGACATGCATAACAAAGAACTGGGGGTTGAGTCCCCAGGGGCCAGGGCGGGCCTGCTACCAGCAAGAAAGTACAGGGCTGGGGCTGGGGATGTGGCTCAAGCGGTAGCGCGCTCGCCTGGCATGCGTGCGGCCTGGGTTCGATCCTCAGCACCACATACAAACAAAGATGTTGTGTCCGCTGAAAACTAAAAAATAAATATTAAAAAATTTAAAAAGAAAGTAAGTACAGGGCTGCTTCCCAGGCTTCAGATGGCAGGTGCCTGTGAGCTGGTGTGGCAGACAGACATCTAAGTTGGCCACAGTCGGCCCACCTCGTGGAACTCATACCCTGCCCTGTTGAACGTGTTGAACGTGAGCAGACCTCGTCCTGGTTCTGGCTAATCAAATATGACAGAAGCGATGGTATGTCACTTCTGGGACTAGGGTAAATAAAATCAGAAGGTCTATCACACTCTCCTGTGCTTTCTTCATGGCTTGCATGCCCCTCCGGGTGGAGGGACGTGGGACCTGCCTGTCGTCTGTATACCACCTGCCCAGCACCCCACACATTCGGAGACTGTAATCTCCAAACCCTACAATTTGGTGGAGGCGTCCTTGTGTCGGCATGATGGCTTGTTAACTCCATCTCTGGCCCCTCTCTCCTCCCTGGAGGGTGGATGGGGTTGAACGTACCAAGCTCCTGACCAGGGCTTGCCCATCTGATGACATCACCATTGCCCAGGAAAATCCACAGGATCTGAGAGCTGCGTCAGGAACCGAGGTCTAAGACCCAACATAAGAACAAAAGATTCTCCCAGCACCGTGTTCTACAAGGGTCTCGAAGCTGTAAGTCAGGAACTGGGGGCAGAGACATATAGATCTTTTAATTTCACACACTGGACGAATGTGTCTTCCTCCTAGGGACTTCCAGTCTGCGCTGTGCTTGGGACAGAAAGAAAATGCCTTGGGTGCAGGTCACCTAGAAGAGCTGACAGTAGGAGCCCCACAGCCTGCATGGGAACTGGGAGCCCCAAGTTGAGGTGGGTGGGGCTCCCAAGCAGCTTCCCCCTCCAGTGTCCTGGGAAGACTGTAAGATCGGGAGCAGGAAGTTCTGTGTTTACGTCCAGTGCCCACTTAGTAGTCACATGACATTGAACAACTCACTGCCTCCAGAGCCTCATGCTCCTTCCCTTCCAACGATGATAACAGAACTTCCCTCCCACCCATGTGAAGAGCAGCTCCCGGCCGCACACGCGTGGCTTCCACGACCACCTGTTCATTTCTCAGCTGGGACTTACCGAGCGTCCCCGTGCACCAAGCCCTGAGCTAGGGTCCGGGATACACCCGCTCCTCCAGGGCCACATTCTAGAAAAGAAGGGGCTGCAAAGGCCTCAGAAAATGAACCAGGTGGCTGCGTCTAGAGGGTGGGGGGAGTGCCACCAGGGGCCAAGCGCAGCCTCAGGCTGGGGAAGGAGCAACGAAGCCCTCTCTGAGGAGAGGTGGGGACGTCATGTGGATGGGGACCTGGAGGATGAGCAGCCCTGCAGAGAAGGAGAAGGAACCTTCTAGGCAGAAGACTCGGAGGACAAGGGCACCAGGCCGAGGAAGGCTGATGCTTTGGAAGGCTGAAGAGAGGAAGGGGAAGTGGTTACACAGCTGGTCTGAGGCCCTGACTCCTCAGGAGCCCCCCAGACCACCTGCTGGGCGTCAG